TTTAAACTTTTAAGCTGGGAAACACGATGAAATAGTTTTGGCGCGCTTTTGGGCATACTTAAAAAAGCTTAAAAATTTAAAAATTTAAAAGGGGGCCAATTTTACTACATGTACAGTATATTTTTAAAAAACCTGGGGAAGTATTCACTTTAAACCTTAGTACAAAAATTTTCTTTTCCTGAAACAGGGAAAAAATTTTTTCAAGAATTTTAGAAACCCCTCTACGACTTGGGTAAAGAAAATTTAAAAAAAAATTTTTAAAAAGGGGGAAAAAAATCGTTAAAATCATCAAAAATTTAGTACATTGGGCTTTTTTCTTTAAAAAAGGGGAAAAAATTTAAAAAATGGGTTTAAAGCGGGTTTTTAAATTTTTTGTTTAAAAAACAAATTAGGTTTCATTGTTTTTCCCCTTAAGAAAAAAGGGGAAACATTAAAAATGGGTTTTTTTGCAAGTTGTTTTTTTTGTTTAATCAGCAAAGAGGGAAATTTTTTTTTTCTAAAAAAAAACAAAACATGAAAAGGGGGGTTAAAAGAAGAATCGGTTTTCAATTTTACAAAACTTCTTTTTAAAATTAACAATAATTTTTAAAAAATCAAAAAAAGCGTTTAAATAAAAAAAAAGGTTTTAAAAGTATGATCAATTAGTTTTTTTTTTTTAATTCAACGGGGGGACCAAAAATTAAAAAGGGGGTTTTGGGGGCAATTTTAAAAGTTTTGTCATTTTTGGGTTTTTTGTGAAATACTTTTAAAAATGATTTAAAAATTATTTGATTTTTATTTTTAAAAGTTAAAAAGAAAAAATGAAAAATAAAACCCTAGATTTATGGGAAGAAATGGGCATTATTAAATATATATTTTTTAAATTTAATTGGGAAAAAAAAAACCAAATTTTGGGCAATTTTAAGACTTTTAAAAAGAAATTTAAAGCAGTAACTTTCTTTCTTTTTTTTAAGAAAAACAATCAATGTTTATTTCTACTTTTTTTTTTTTTAAAAAATTTGTATATATAACCGTTTTTTCTCCATCGGTTTTTTAAAAAAAATTTCTTTGGGGTCTTTTAAAGTTTCAGAAATCAGTGTAAAAAATTTACATTTTCATAACCAATTCTTAACCCCTAAAAAAATTTTAAAATTCCCCCCCTCATTAAACCCAAAAAACAAATTTTGGGAAAGGTAAAACTAATAAATTTTTAGAAAAAAAAGTCTCACTGTCAAAAAATTTAAGAATGTTTTTCCAAAAATACAAAAAAATGGGGGAAAAAACGAATCATTTTTAGGAAAGTACTTCGGGCTATTTTTTTAAAATTTCTTTTTTTAAAAATACAAAATTTCCCCGACCCCATCAAAGGTACAAAAAAATGAATAAATAAATTTAATAATATAATTGTCATCCCCAATTTTTTTTTAATGTTCATTTTTTAATTCGAAGTTTTATTTATATTTTCCCTTTTTGACGATGATAAAAGGGGGGAAATTTTAAGGAACATATTTGGGTTTTTTTTCGAAGGGTTTTTAAACAAAAGTCTTTTCAAATTTTAAAACGTTTTTTAAAAATTTTAAAGCATTTTTTCAAAAAATCAATTCTTTTCTATACATACCCAAAAAAAGGACTTGCTATTTTTTGTTCATTTCTGTATCGAATGTCCCCTTTTTTAAATTTTTAATTTTTTTTTTTGTTTGGGCGGGATCGCGGGGAAAAACAAAAAACTCTGTAATGAGCGGGGGTGCGGGGCAAAGTTCAATTAAACGCTTATTAGCGTGCTTTCGTTCCGCGCCCCTGCCATTTTATTTCTTGAATCTCGCGTAACGCATCTGCGGGCGACGTTTTATTTATTTAACTTGACCCGCTCCCTCGCTTATTAGCGTAATTTCGCTCCGCGTCCCCTCCATTTTGAAATTGTAAATTCTCGAATTGTCGTTTGGCGGGGTCGCCTGACGATAACACGAATGACAAAAATCTATCACCATATTTATTTGTAAATACAATATTTTTTAAGAAGACCAAAATGAATGTAATGATTTACTAAATAATCTATAATAACAATTCTTTGAAGACGACCAAATTTAAATGTAATATTTAACTTAATAATTCAGTTCAAAATCCTTAAATCTGTCCACATTTTACAAAAGTTTGAGACGTTCAGCCTTGTTTTTTAAATGCTTTTCTTATCTAAAATGTTGACATTTATTATTACAGTTAATAATAGAATCTATCATTGGGTTAGATAGAGGATAGGGAAATCCCAACCCGAGTGTGATCGGTTAGATCTGTAACGAGCCTTGGCGAGTTCCCGATGGAACCGATTGCCCGAGGGTTGGGATTTTCCTATCCTCTATCAAACCCAATGATTGATTATTTTTCTCACTCACCTGGACACACAAGAAGTGAAACTACTTGCTACGCGCATTACAACGTACCCAGTTTTGAAAAGCGCAGCGGGGCTAAATGCGTTTGAGTACGTCCGCAAAAAATTCTACTGACCAAGTTTATGTGTCAATAATTCAATGAAAATAAATTCATACGAGATCTCTCATCAAAATGCAAGTTTATCATGATAAAACACATAAATATTTAAGTCGGAAAGTGTGATAATACAAGTGTTTTTACCGTTTACAAAGATTTTTCTACTTATTCGGATATTTTGGCCGAATATTCAATTAAAATATATCAAAATGAGATTTGTCATCAAGAAGCATCGTTATCATTACAGAAAATATGGATGTTTTTCAGGCAAAGTGTCATAATATCCGATTTTACGAAGAATTTCGCGATATTTTAGTGTGCTATTTTAGTAACATATCGATATTGAAAAGGGCGGACCAAGGTAGAGAAGGACTCATTGCAGTGTGAAAGTTAATATCAATCTATTTTGATTCCATGGACAATTTAATAGATAAGCTCACATATTTTTAATACAATTTGACCATTTGACGTTTCATTTTTGATAAAATAAGAGGGAATTGCGTATGTGTAGGAATACGTTTTTAGAAGTGCTGCACGTTGAGTGTAAGATCAGCCCATGTGAGATAAGATTTTCCAACACCGCTATTTTTAGTAACATTTACGGATTTTTCTATCTGGTTAGTGAGAAAATGTCTTGCAAAGCTGTCTGTCGTATATTGTTTGAATTCAATATTGAATATTTTTGAATATATTGTATGTTGTGTATGAGTTACACTGAAACTGCAATGGTATCATCACCACTACCCAGTTTTACTGGCGGAGGAAGACGTCAGCTAGTGCTCTGTGCGACACCTCACTAACCGTCCTTGAGCTAGTACATTAGCTTCGTCACATGAAATAATTAAAAGCGGTGATCTTGAGACAAGTTGCTTGAACGATTTTTAGGACTGTAAGGTTTTCTCTTATTTTGTGACTTCCCCGTGTTTTGAATTTCTTTAAAAAGGAGCAAAAATTATGACTTGTACATACATGACATTCTTACGTTCAAGTTGACTATTTAAGACAATTATAATGATCATTCATGTCAAGGATAGCACGCAATTAAGATCCCTTTTAGAAACAAAATGTCATCTGCTCACATGATTTTATAAACCTGTCTTGTCTGGGACCGTCTTATCAATCTATGACAAACATTATAACAGCTTATTTAGTCAAAGCTTAGCGGTCGCTTGCATAGGAAAGATTGAATCCAGTTTTTATTTTACCTACAACAAAAAAGGTACCTATTACATCTTTTTTAATTATGAACTTAAAGATACTATTTGTTCTCAACACATAATACAGTTGAATACAAATAAAAACAATATGTATTCTATCTTTACGGGTTTTAAAGTGCATGAAATATAAAAGCTAGTAATACAACAATATCTTATCAAATTCTAAATCATTTAGTTGTCGCTTGTCATTCATTTGTCAATGAATAAATTGCAGTGTATATGCAAAATAGATTTTATACACATAATGTTTTCTAATTTCCAGATAGGTGTTAAAGAAATTAATGTATAGGACATTGTCTAAAATGAGAAATACTTTACTTGTGAGTAGACGTTCAGTTGAAAATATTTTTTACTTTAAATATGTCAATTTTTCTTGTTAATAGCTAATTAATGTAGTCAAGATTGTCTCTCAAGTCTTATTTCCGCAAACCACCTTTTTAAATTACTATGTGGATTTAATTTCTTCCTACAGCTAAATGAAATTGATTATTGCCAATATCAAAGCGTCACAGAATATTGAAACGCAGACATACAGATTTATACTTATAGAGGTGCACTTAAAGAATTAATAATAACCTGTGGTTCGAACAAAAAAATAACAGCCGATAACGGTAATTCACACACATAAAGTCAAACATGATTTTAATTACATTCATTTGATCAACAATACTAATTTAATATTAGTTAATGTGTTTACATGTCCCAGACCGTGTATTTATTTCATTTATAAGATAAAAGTTTATCAATTATAAAATGTAAATGTCATGTTGAGTTGATAAAAAAACATCAGTTTTGTTTTTGTCTTTTAATAATCTTAATATATTAAGATGATTAAACACCTTTTATGAATTTCAGAATCAAATCATTTTGATTACTGCCTTCCTAGAGTTATCCTCGGCGTTCCTTCTCGTTGACAACTGTCCAGTGTCACCACCTTGTACGTGCTCCGGTAGTTCAGGATATTCAAGCCACATTCATTGTGAAAATAAAAGTTTAACGAACATTCCTAATATCAAACAATCTAGTTCTCATGTGAACAGCTTAAATCTGTATTTTTCTTCAAACAAGTTGACAGTAATTCCAAATAATGCATTTAGAAATTTCAGTTCAATCGCTGCATCAGACATATATTTGCTATTGGATGATAATCAGATACACACATTTGAAAGCAAGGCATTTAATGGGATTGAAAATACCACCACAACACTTGAGTTGCAAAATAATAACCTTAACACTTTACCGTCAGCTTTAAAGATTCTTATTAACCTTAGTTATCTCGATATTCAAGGTAATCCTTTAAGTTCTCTTGACGCCTCTGTGATGTCTCTTATAGGCAGAAGTTTGATGTTCTTTCAAATTGATATAAAAAATGTCACGGAATGGCCCCATGAACTTCGTTATCTTCGGGTATTGGAGTCTTTGACTGTTAATCAAATACAATTTCCCCATTTAGATATAAATGCTTTCCATGGCTTTGAAAAAACACTGAAGAGCCTTACTCTTGAAAGTTCTAAACTTGAGAAAGTGCCCTATGCAATTTGTAATCTCAGTCAACTATCATCGTTCGATTTTCGATATAATTATCACCTTCAGGAAACCAAATCCTCGATTTTCGAGCCATGTGGTAATAAATTATTAAATGTTGGTTCATTTTATATAGCTGCAAATAACCTCAATACATTTCCAGATATGTTTTCTTTATTTCCATCACTTACATATATATCCGCAGTTGCTAATAGGCATCAATACATAGATGATACTAAAATCCCATTTGATTCAAATGTCACAGGCATACATTTGTCAGCAAATATGTTTGACAGAATACCATATGCATTGAACAGAATGAATCGTCTGACTCATGTTTATCTCAGCCAAAATCGAATAACGACAATAGAAAAACCCGATCTATCAAATTTGACTGCTTTAACTTTGTTATATCTAAATGGGAATCCCATTAAATATATCGCAGTCGATGCCTTTAAAAAAAACAACATTGAATTAAGTTATCTAAATTTACAAAACACGCACCTTGACCACGTTCCTACTGCAGTGTCATCCCTCGCAAAACTTTCCACTTTTATTCTTAGTGGAATGCCAGTTGATTGCACATGTGACATGTCTTATTTAAAACACTGGAATGTTTCTGCTGTATCTACTTTTACCACAAAATGTGCATACACTTCAGAAACCGTTAAAAGTTTTGTCATGAATTCTCTACAGACATGTCCATAGAGATTTAATGTATTTTACAATTCAGTCAAGAAACTAGTGAAATATATAATTCAAATTCATAATATAAATAAAATTAATAATTTCATGTATGGTCTAAGACATGTTTATTTATCAAATTTTTTTTTCAATTACGTGACGGTTTTATGCCTTTTTAAGTGAATTTTCATTTTATATAAATATTTTAATTTTCATTTTTCCAACTAAACCATTATTTCGAATATGAAATCAGTAATAAATATCAATATCATTTACTAGGAATTTTATTGACGATGAATGGTTTAGTTATCGTATAGGTAAATGTCATGCAAAGTCAAATATTATGAAATTTGTTTATTGATGAATAAAACCACTATGTAAACGTAGATTGTATTTTATATTATATCAGTTATAATAATTATTGTTCACAGTAATAGTAACAACCTTTAATACATTTTGCTATATATTGAAATAGTAAAACATCATTTTTAAAAATTAACCATACTTAAATTTAATATTTTAAAATACTGATATACTCAAAACAGTTGATTATCTGCCGTAGTGAGCCATTGTCTATTTGCACCACTACACAAATATATTAAATATATTTATCAATTTTAAATGTTTTTATGTGGACAAGTCAAGTTAAAGTCAAATAAATATTGGCATAGATATTTTTCTTTACAGTAATAACTCACGATTTATGTTTAACAATTTATATAAATATTGCATATACATATGTCAAAGCAAAAATCTAGAAAAATAAAAATTATTTAATTTCACTTTAATTACATTTTCAATTGATTAATGGAGTGATAATGGATACATTTATATACTTCTATACAAAGCCAGAGTCTTTTCTAGCAATTCGATTATAAATTATTATTGTCATTTTCAATATTATATAATTTCGTTATTAGGATAATGGTTTTTTATCTTAATTTATATAAACCATAATAATATTTTAATAACTAATATAAATCATAATAGTATTTTACTACATTATTTCTTAATACTATTGTATGCATTAATGATTTAAAATTATAAATGAAATTGGTAATAATTAATATGTCAGCTTCTACATACGAAGTTCAACAAAATTTGTGATATGTTTTTGTTGTGTTTGTTTTTCTTCGAAAATTATTATTATTAAACAGTATAGTGTACTTAAGAAAGGATACACATGTAATGTGAATGGAATGAAATTTGATAATATGTCTTAAATTAAAATTTATTTAAGAAATTTACTAACACGTCTATAAATGATATACTTTTTGTTGTTCGTATACATGTTAAATTAGTCAGATTTCATTTTATCATATAACTGACATATATGATTATCAAATGTGAAATAATGGTAAAAAATACTTACCATGACTTAAATATTTTGGTGACAATTAAATACATGTATAAATTGTTAAACGCCTGTGTTATTCTTTACGATAATACCAATACTCGTTTGTTATCAATAAAATTATACTAGCTTCATCACTTTTTTATTTATTTGGGTCGTCATACCAAACAAATAAAGGTAGCGAAATTTCAGACCCTGATGTGCTTATTTGCAAAAACCGAAATAGTCCAAACTCCTCGAAGCGGTTACTTCCCTTTATATGTAAACTTACGCCGAAAAATTAAGGGGATATCACTGTGTAAAGATTGTCAAATGACAGGCGCATTAATTTCAAAGCTTTCTCGGGGATAAAAATAGTTCCAGAATGGTCAAAGATTTCTAATATTGTGCTATTCTTTATAGACATACATGCTTATATTAAGCTGAATGATTATTAAAATCAGCGTTATACTACAGGTTTGCCGTTAACAAAATATATCGAAATTAATTAATAAGGGTTACAAACACTAATTTAGAATAATGAGGTTTTCTTCAGGCCGTTAACATATAACCTCACAGTGGTCAAGGTGTTTACACACTCGCTTAGGAAGCGAGAGGTCTGGAGTTCAAATCCCAGTTAAGGCAACTCATTATTATTTTAAATTGTTTAAGTCAAATAAACATTGAATTGAATATCAGTGTTGCAATTTGTCTTAAAGCCAATTTACTACAGTTAAAACACTGGCACTATACAAAAACAAATTGGTTATAATCTCACAACCTTCACCTTTCTGACATTCTGAGGCCCAAATTTAAACAAATACTGTGCCTTCTGTGCTTTGATTAATTCAGTGTAACAAATGGATGCAAGTATAAATAGCTAAGAAATAACATATGCAAGTTAAACCGGTTTTACTTCAGCCGATAATCTTTTTAAAGGTACTTCTTGCTTCTTAACAACCTTAATTACAACCTACATAATTTTTAGTATAGCATTTAGTCTTGTTGAATAAAACATCTCCTATCTTAAACTAAATAAAGATATGATGGCCGTTAATCGCTCATCAGAGAATATTATCTACATGGACAACATAACAAGACAATTCCTTGATCCCCAGACCAGAAATATTTGAGTAATATTTGTTAAGAATTGCATAATAATAATTGCTGTAGAAATGTCGTCCTAATTTACCAAGTGGTTTCACTTTGTTAAGCAGATCGTAAAGTGTGAACACTTTTAGTGATGGACAACTTTTGGATCATTTCTGTAGTTTCTCGCAAACCTTATTAGCGACTTAGGATAACTTATTTTTATTTGAAGGTCTTGCTGTCATATTTTTAAACAGATTAAACAGATTTGGACACATGTTATCATTTTTATAATTGACAGCCATATGAAAGCAAAGCTAACAGTTTCATCAAATGTACTAGGTTGTAAAAGAGATGTCGTTTAAAGATTTAAAACATCGGTTTTCTAGTAATTGGTTGGGGAATATGTCGATCAAATGTTTTCCTTTTTTAAGCCATGTTGGGCGCATTGTTCAGATGACCGCAACCCGACCATTTAAACGGTTTCAATAGAGGACCACCTTACAATCATTAACGATCATTCCTATATAGTTTCATTTGCCAAAAGCCTGATGAGTAAATACTTGTATTCTTAGCACTAGTAAAACTATTAACTATATCTTATTTTTGTAATTTGATGTTTGGAATGTTTTTACCGGTCATATTTGACGGGGTGACCTAGATTTGAAAGAAGACCAGACGTGATGTACATAAGAAATTTACTTTTTGGTTTTATCCCATTACTATTGATGTAAACTAAACCCGCAACAAGTATTAAACAAACACAAGGCAAAAGCATAGCATTGTGTTCATCGGTGTTCAACAGTCCAAATATTATCGCAAATGCAATCGAATTGAGACCTCTGTTCATCGCTTGAAACCCAAGCATATAAATAGAAACCTTAACCTTGGCCATTGTACGGCAACAACGCAACACAACAAGAGCCACCGCCGGGCGGGGGCAACGCTCGACTTTTTACTTTTTCTAAACGCAAACATAGAAAGGTTTGAACATATCTTAATGTTTCCTTTTTATAAGACCGTCTGTCTTGTCACACAAGTTTTGTTTATATATTTAGCAAATTTCTAAAAATAGCAACATTACGCAATTTCTTAAAATAGCAACATGACGCAATTTCTTAAAATAGCAACATGACGCAATTTCTAAAAAAGGCAACAATGACGCTATTTCTAAAAATAGCAACAATGATGCAATTTCTAAAAATAGCAACAATGACGCAATTTCTAAAAATAGAAAAAATGACGCAATTTCTAAAAATAGCTACAATGACGCAATTTCTAAAAATAGCAACAATGACGCAATTTCTAAAAATAGCAACAATTTCTAAAAATATAAAAAATGACGCAATTTCTATAAATAGAAAAAATGACGCAATTTATATAAATAGAAAAAATGACGCAATTTCTAAAAAAAAAAAAAGGGAAAAAAATGACGCAATTTCTAAAAAAAGAGAAAAAAATGACGCAATTTCTAAAAATAGAAACAATGACCGAATTCTGTAAATAGAAACAATGACGCAATTCTATAAATAGAAACAATGACGCAATTCTAGTTGTTGTTGTTGTTGTTGTAAATACATAGACACACACACACACACACCAATAAATATATAATTATGGTCATTTAATGCACAAATCTGAGAAAATTCAGTAATTTAACCTTCAAGGTCAAGGTCATTAAAGAGCCCAAGCAAATTTTGGGTTTGATAAACAACAAGGTCTGGTCCTTAAGAATGTTCTCTTATAATATGAAGTTGATCCCTTCAATAATAGCAAAGTTTACAGTCAGTTACCGCCAAAACAATGAAAATTTCAATAATTTGACCTTCAAAGACAATGTCATTAATGAGTGAAGGTCAAGGTCTTTCGGTATATTTTTAACAGTAATCTTTGAAGATTATTATGTTCAAGTTCAAGACAATCCATTCAAAAAATAACAAAGTTACAGCCAATATAAGCCAAAAAAATGAAAATTTCAAATAATTTGACCTTAAAAGTCAAGGTCATTTGTGAGTGAAGGTCAAGTTCTGGCTGGTTATTTTTAAGGGATATCCTTAAAGATTATTATGTTCAAAGTTTGAAGTCAATCCATTCAAAAATAACAAAATTACAGCCAATAACAGCATGAACAAGCAAAAATTGACTTTAACCTTGAAGGTCAAGGTCATTTATGGATGAAGGCCAGGTTAGTGTGGTCTACTGAAAGTCTTTCCCAAGGGTTGTTTTGGCCAAGTATCAAAGACAATACACCAAGAAATTAAAAAGTTATGATCCAGGTACAAGTTTGCGGACGGCAACGGCAACGGCAACGGGAACGCCGACCTGACTATAACAATACCTCTACTTTTTTTTCAAAAAAAAAAAGTCGAGCTAAAAAAGGAATTGCCTAGTACTAAGGACAAGACAGATTGACCCAAAACTCCAATCCAAACACTTGTGGACAGAAAATTTGTATAATACTCTTCCCAAATTAATTTCGAAATGCTTTATAATAAGTAGCTATTAGAAAATAAATTCATGTTAGCTGCTTCATGATGTACACTGAGCTAGTAATACCTGTTATAGAAAAGAATAAACTTCTTTTCTTATATATGAATTCTTTGCAGTCGATGACTTGCGGGAAAAA